AGAGGTCTTCTTGTCCTCTTTTGTATGCTTTTCATATTCTTATTAATAAAAATCTTAAAAAAAAAGGTTGCTATGGGGTTAGTTTAAGTGGACATATTAATGTTTATTGTTTTGATTTTGAAAGCTAGGATATGGTGGGGAATTTTGAGGTGAGGCCTTAATGTGTTGACTGGAATCGAACTTTCCTTGGAAAGGCATCTACGAAGCAGATTGACTCCCATGGTTGTGTTTGTTGTTGGTTGGCCTCCTTACAAATAATAGAGCGACTTTCCCCCCTTGTTGTTAGGCCCTAAGCACTCCACCTCCTTCACATTCTATGATAGCTATCTAACTCTCTGTGGTTTATGGAACAAAATTCAACATTAATTTCGTCGACAAATCTTATAAAATGACCTTGATATCCTCTTTGTCTCCTTCTTGCTTTCTCTTTCATTTTTTAAACTTGCATACTTTAGGTTGGGTTTTGCGAAACATCGGGCTGGTTCTTCAAGTTTTCTTTTTTTTTTTTGAATCCGCAGATTTTAATCCAAGGCTTTGCCATGTGCAATCAGGAAGCCTGATTTAACATCAAGTTCGAAAGCTTTCTTCTCACATAGCAGAATTTCCAATAAACCAAGGTTATTCGTAGAATCTTATTTGATCATACTCAAGGAAGGTGGGTGACAATTGAAAATAGTAAAAAACAACTAAGTAAGAGAGAGAGAGTGTGTGTTGGTGCCTCTGGAGAAGAGGGAGAAGAAGATTCGTGGTGGATTATATGGGTTTTTGCATCTACACGAGAAGCAAAGTGAGAAGCGATATGAAGCGAGCTTTGGTTGCCTTAAGCGAGGAAAAAGCGATGAAACGAAGAAGCGAGTCAAGCGAGAAAAGTGAACGCGAGAAAAGCGAATGCCTGGTTGCAATTTTTGTTAATTTTCTCCCCCTCCCCCTTCCCCCCTCCCCCTTCTTAACATCAATTTAACCCTAGTAGAGATGATATTATATATGTATATGTATAAATAAATCGATTGATTCATCTGACAGTATCATATGATGATCTGTCTTGTTATGATTAGATGATGTTGAATGCTCTGTATTGTGGTGAATGCTCTTGTTAATCAATTTGCTTGGCTAATCAAATTGATTAATTAATTTGTTATATACTCTATTTGATTAATCAATTTGTGAGTGTTTTGTTTAGTGGTGATATTAATCGATTACGGTGGGAATCGAACCCACATTTGCAAGCTTTCCATTTAAATGCGTGATTATGTCAATTGATTATTTTTAGAATACAATAATGTTCAATATTTAATATCTTGTCTATTTAAAATATGTAGATATTTATTATTTTGGTTGCATTTAAATATTTTATATTTGTAAAGTTAAAACTTGAATATTTAGGAGTAATTAAAGGATTAAACTAAAATATTTGTTTATTTTTTATATTGTTTGCTTTACTTCGATGAAGCGTTCGCTTCGCTTCTCGCCTAGGCCCTCGAGAGATCGGTTCGCTTCGTTTTACGTTACGCCTTAAATAACATTGCTATGACCTTTGGAGTACGTGCGGAGCACCTGACTGTAATGAGGCAACTGCTTTGTGTCTTCTTTGCTGGGTTTGGACGGTGAAGCACTGTAGATTTTATTGGGGACAGTTATTTTGTGATTCTAAAAACTTGATTAAATTTGTTTTTGATAGGGTCTCCTGTTCCAGGGATTTGAGTTTGTGTTCTTGGGTGCTCTTTTTTCTTTGTTAAATTTCAACTTTGGTATTTAGGTTAATCTGTTGGTGCTCTTAGATAATATTCAGTTTGCTATCAAGGGAAGAATAAAAATTAGTGGTACATCTTGACCACTAATTCCTAATGCTTTACCACAATGATTTGAAAAGCTCGCCTAGGCGAGAAGTGAGGCGAGGCGAGACGAGTTTATCTTGCCTGGAGGACCCCAGGCGAAGCGAGAAAAAAACGAGAAAAAGCAAAAAAGAGAAGAAGCGAAAAAAGCGAAAAAACGAACGCTTTATTATAAGAGACGATTCTGCTTCCTTTTTTTTTTTTTTTTCTAATTACAGGTTAGTAGTCTCTTTTATTTTTTAATCACTAATGACTTTTTTTTTAGACTATCGCTGGTCTATTTTTTTTTTTCTAATAAACAATGTTTCGAACAAAACACATTCTTTTTTTTCCTTGTGTTGCTGAATTTATTTAGAATATTTGTGGGATGTGGGAGTCAGGCGACTGCATGACAAAATTATGATAAAGAAAGGAAACAGGAGTATCAGGAATGGGGGTAAATAATAGAGTTTTCTACAAAGAAGTGTCTCTGATATGTCTTGGTTATACTTTTCCTTTTTCTTATATATATACAAATGGTACCAAAAAGTGGTCTATGCTTATACCATGTTTAATTATTTTAGTACATGTGAAATGTGCCTCTGTTCTGCTTTTTTTTATTCAGTACATAATTACATATGAAATTGTTTACAATTGATTCTGCTCCTGTCATGATCATTGTGCTTCTGTTTTTTTTTTTTTAGCTCATTCTGCTTCTATTTTTTTTGTTGATTCTGTTGCTGCTTCGGTTTTGCTGTCCTGTGCTGCTTCTGTTTTTTTTTTATCCTCATTCTGCTTCTTTTTTTTTTTTTGTTGCTGATTCTGCTGCTGTCCTGATTCTGCGTCTTTTGTTGTCCTACCCTGTCAATATGAAAATGTATACAATTGTTAATATTTGTTTGAATTTAAATGTTTAAGTTATGACTGTTATTAAGATTTGAGATATTATTAGTGTTTGTTTTAATTTAAATGTNGCTGCTTTGTGTCTTCTTTGCTGGGTTTGGACGGTGAAGCACTGTAGATTTTATTGGGGATAGTTATTTTGTGATTCTAAAAACTTGATTAAATTTGTTTTTGATAGGGTCTCCTGTTCCAGGGATTTGAGTTTGTGTTCTTGGGTGCTCTTTTTTCTTTGTTAAATTTCAACTTTGGTATTTAGGTTAATCTGTTGGTGCTCTTAGATAATATTCAATTTGCTATCAAGGGAAGAATAAAAATTAGTGGTACATCTTGACCACTAATTCCTAATGCTTTACCACAATGATTTGAAAAGCTCGCCTAGGCGAGAAGNTATGCTTTTCATATTCTTATTAATAAAAATCTTAAAAAAAAAGGTTGCTATGGGGTTAGTTTAAGTGGACAATTAATGTTTATTGTTTTGATTTTGAAAGCTAGGATATGGTGGGGAATTTTGAGGTGAGGCCTTAATGTGTTGACTGGAATCGAACTTTCCTTGGAAAGGCATCTACGAAGCAGATTGACTCCCATGGTTGTGTTTGTTGTTGGTTGGCCTCCTTACAAATAATAGAGCGACTTTCCCCCCTTGTTGTTAGGCCCTAAGCACTCCACCTCCTTCACATTCTATGATAGCTATCTAACTCTCTGTGGTTTATGGAACAAAATTCAACATTAATTTCGTCGACAAATCTTATAAAATGACCTTGATATCCTCTTTGTCTCCTTCTTGCTTTCTCTTTCATTTTTTAAACTTGCATACTTTAGGTTGGGTTTTGCGAAACATCGGGCTGGTTCTTCAAGTTTTCTTTTTTTTTTTTGAATCCGCAGATTTTAATCCAAGGCTTTGCCATGTGCAATCAGGAAGCCTGATTTAACATCAAGTTCGAAAGCTTTCTTCTCACATAGCAGAATTTCCAATAAACCAAGGTTATTCGTAGAATCTTATTTGATCATACTCAAGGAAGGTGGGTGACAATTGAAAATAGTAAAAAACAAGTAAGAGAGAGAGAGTGTGTGTTGGTGCCTCTGGAGAAGAGGGAGAAGAAGATTCGTGGTGGATTATATGGGTTTTTGCATCTACACGAGAAGCAAAGTGAGAAGCGATATGAAGCGAGCTTTGGTTGCCTTAAGCGAGGAAAAAGCGATGAAACGAAGAAGCGAGTCAAGCGAGAAAAGTGAACGCGAGAAAAGCGAATGCCTGGTTGCAATTTTTGTTAATTTTCTCCCCCTCCCCCTTCCCCCCTCCCCCTTCTTAACATCAATTTAACCCTAGTAGAGATGATATTATATATGTATATGTATAAATAAATCGATTGATTCATCTGACAGTATCATATGATGATCTGTCTTGTTATGATTAGATGATGTTGAATCTCTGTATTGTGGTGAATGCTCTTGTTAATCAATTTGCTTGGCTAATCAAATTGATTAATTAATTTGTTATATACTCTATTTGATTAATCAATTTGTGAGTGTTTTGTTTAGTGGTGATATTAATCGATTACGGTGGGAATCGAACCCACATTTGCAAGCTTTCCATTTAAATGCGTGATTATGTCAATTGATTATTTTTAGAATACAATAATGTTCAATATTTAATATCTTGTCTATTTAAAATATGTAGATATTTATTATTTTGGTTGCATTTAAATATTTTATATTTGTAAAGTTAAAACTTGAATATTTAGGAGTAATTAAAGGATTAAACTAAAATATTTGTTTATTTTTTATATTGTTTGCTTTACTTCGATGAAGCGTTCGCTTCGCTTCTCGCCTAGGCCCTCGAGAGATCGGTTCGCTTCGTTTTACGTTACGCCTTAAATAACATTGCTATGACCTTTGGAGTACGTGCGGAGCACCTGACTGTAATGAGGCAACTGCTTTGTGTCTTCTTTGCTGGGTTTGGACGGTGAAGCACTGTAGATTTTATTGGGGACAGTTATTTTGTGATTCTAAAAACTTGATTAAATTTGTTTTTGATAGGGTCTCCTGTTNACCATATTTGGTAGAATTCTTCTAGTATGTGACAGTGTTTAACATGTGAATATCTGTTTTACACATCCATTTTTAATCTATGTATCAAATGGATTCTTTTTTCCTTTTTTTCTTTTGCATAATAAATTAATGTATGCTGCAAAGTTGCACCCCCCAGATTGAATTTTTTCAATTTTTTTTCTTTTTCTGTTGATTGTCAACTGCTGAAGGAGGTAGTGTTTTCTTTTCCATGTCAGAATGGCTATTGCTTCTCAGTGCGGTAGAAGGGAGTCATCATCATTTACTATATTTGCTTCAGTTACAAGCGCAGGTTCCTTTCCTGTCCTCTATTTCTTTTGAATTATGATTTGATCTTTCAAGTCATGTGCAAGTATGATAACTCTAGTATTAAGCTTCTATTAATACCTGCCCTCCTATTCATGGACAGATCTTTCGCTGGGTGAATCAATAGAAACTGCTCAGCTTCCCAAGGGTGATACCTGGTCCATTCATAAATTTGGTGGCACCTGTGTGGGAAGCTCCCAAAGAATCCAAAATGTTGCAGAGATAATTATTAAGGATGACTCAGAAAGAAAGCTGGTCGTTGTGTCTGCAATGTCAAAGGTGACAGATATGATCTATGATCTTATCTATAAAGCACAGTCACGAGATGATTCTTATCTGGCCGCACTGGATGCTGTTTTAGAAAAGCACAAGTTAACAGCACTTGATCTGCTTGATGGTGATGATCTTGCTAGCTACTTATCTCGGCTCCATCATGACATCAATAACCTTAAAGCTATGCTTCGTGCCATATACATTGGTATCTCTCTCTCTCTCTCTCTCTCTNCGTGGTGGATTATATGGGTTTTTGCATCTACACGAGAAGCAAAGTGAGAAGCGATATGAAGCGAGCTTTGGTTGCCTTAAGCGAGGAAAAAGCGATGAAACGAAGAAGCGAGAAAAGTGAACGCGAGAAAAGCGAATGCCTGGTTGCAATTTTTGTTAATTTTCTCCCCCTCCCCCTTCCCCCCTCCCCCTTCTTAACATCAATTTAACCCTAGTAGAGATGATATTATATATGTATATGTATAAATAAATCGATTGATTCATCTGACAGTATCATATGATGATCTGTCTTGTTATGATTAGATGATGTTGAATGCTCTGTATTGTGGTGAATGCTCTTGTTAATCAATTTGCTTGGCTAATCAAATTGATTAATTAATTTGTTATATACTCTATTTGATTAATCAATTTGTGAGTGTTTTGTTTAGTGGTGATATTAATCGATTACGGTGGGAATCGAACCCACATTTGCAAGCTTTCCATTTAAATGCGTGATTATGTCAATTGATTATTTTTAGAATACAATAATGTTCAATATTTAATATCTTGTCTATTTAAAATATGTAGATATTTATTATTTTGGTTGCATTTAAATATTTTATATTTGTAAAGTTAAAACTTGAATATTTAGGAGTAATTAAAGGATTAAACTAAAATATTTGTTTATTTTTTATATTGTTTGCTTTACTTCGATGAAGCGTTCGCTTCGCTTCTCGCCTAGGCCCTCGAGAGATCGGTTCGCTTCGTTTTACGTTACGCCTTAAATAACATTGCTATGACCTTTGGAGTACGTGCGGAGCACCTGACTGTAATGAGGCAACTGCTTTGTGTCTTCTTTGCTGGGTTTGGACGGTGAAGCACTGTAGATTTTATTGGGGACAGTTATTTTGTGATTCTAAAAACTTGATTAAATTTGTTTTTGATAGGGTCTCCTGTTCCAGGGATTTGAGTTTGTGTTCTTGGGTGCTCTTTTTTCTTTGTTAAATTTCAACTTTGGTATTTAGGTTAATCTGTTGGTGCTCTTAGATAATATTCAGTTTGCTATCAAGGGAAGAATAAAAATTAGTGGTACATCTTGACCACTAATTCCTAATGCTTTACCACAATGATTTGAAAAGCTCGCCTAGGCGAGAAG